ATATATATATATATATATATATATATATATATATATATATATAAATTTTCTGTGGGGCGTGTAACAAAAGTTTTTTCCCTCTGGGGTTATTGAAGTATTTCTGATTCTGATGCCTTAAAACTGATAGTTTTGGTGGACAGAGAAATTTGAATTTGTAGGATTTTACTTGGAGATAAGTCTCAGTCGATGTGCTACAGTCAGTGTGAGATTAATAATTTATCTGCTCAGTGGATGCCAATTCCCCATTTTGCTATGAGCACCATTCTAGATCATTTCTGACACTTAATTTGTTGAACTTAGAACCTGGAACCTGCCGAAGATTCCCTCCCCTCCTTATTTTCATATTCCCTCAAATGGCGTTGTCTTTGACGCTTGGCCGTGATGCTGTTCAGAACAATGTCACGCAGGCTGTGTGCTACTCATAAGCCCACAGCCCGCCAAATGTAGAAAGAGCAATAGTATTGCCATTACTGCTGATATATAATAGAAATGCACACATTCAGTGATAGAATGTCACAGGGGATGGTATGGGGGGATGATCATTTTATAAGAAGGGGGAATGCCTTCATCCCACCTGAACTCGAGTACTGCTTATACCCAAACATACAGTTCCCCAATCTGCTTTATTCATTAAACATAAATCTACTGACTGACCAGGAAAAGGAGCCATTTGTTTATTGCAAAGAACCCATTTCGGAGGAATTGGTTCTTTTGTGTTCAAAGTTAAATATATTACTAAATATACACTTTGTTTACATATTTTCTCTCTATCTTCATGAAAAAATTTTTTACCAGCTCAAAAAATACAAATAAATTTAGTTATTTAGTTATTTCATTTTTGTGTTCAGTGTTTGCTTTATGTTGTTGTTTTCTTGTTGGTTTTCATAACGTAACACTGAAGAATATAATACTTATCATTGTTTTATTGTTATTGCTTTATATTGTCTTTATTTGATTTATTAATTACACAAAATCCCAGTTACTAAATTGTTTTTTGTTTTTATGCAATGCAACCCCATACTTTTAAGAGTTATCCAAATTACTTTCTACACAACAATCAATCTTATTTATTTTATTTTGTAACGATTTAGACATTTCCATAAGAAAGACATTCACATAGAAAGAAAAGTTAAGGAAAACGGAAGCGGACTGTTTAATATCTCTGCTGTGGCTCATTGCCATGGTAACCGGCTCTGGACACAGAACCTTACAAAGATAAACATTTTTTTTGTTGCTAAGGTTCCGACCAGTTAAGCTGAGAACTCAATAACTGATTCAATGGTCACATTGCAAACTTCAACATGAGTTACACATTTAAGTTGTCAGAAGAGCCTAGCATGGTGTACAACGACCTCCGCTTGGCAGGAAAAACTACCGACGCTGTCATTGTTGCTGAAGGTGTCGAATTTAAAGTTCACAAGCTCATCCTCTGTGATTTTGCTCAGTATTTCCGGTAAGTTGGAAAAAATAGATGACTTTGTATGTGTTTGATTAGCAGGGAAATGCTGTATTTTGTTTTAGATGGGGATTTAGGTTTAATAGAAGAGGGGTCCGTTTACAAAGCAGGTTTACTGAAACTATGTTTTCTAAACCCGAAATCAGGGAAACTCGAGATTTTCCATTTCACAAAAAGGGTTTACGACCTCTGTCTCTGTTACCATAGAAACATTCTTTCCAGAGCTAACCTGGTAGGGAGCAGGTTTTGTTTAATAAGCTTAGTGTGTCCTCTGTTTTAGCTCTACTTAAAGCCGTTTAACGTTGTTTGAAACCTGTTATGAAACCAGAAACTCTGAGGCTGTGTCTGAACGTCCGCCCTGACCCCTACGCTGCAAAAATTATCTCAAAATGAGTAAAAATGTCTTAAATTAGGGGTATTTACCCTTAATTTGAACAGGTAAATAATGATTTGCCAATGGAATTAGTATTTTTACTCTTAAAATAAGGTATCTAGATAAAATGCCCTTGAAATAAGACAATGCAATTGTTTTTTCTTATTTTAAGTGTAAATTTTCTTGTTCCATTGGCAAAGGGTCTCACTTAAATCCTTAATTCAAGAAAAAATGCACTAATTTTAAGAAGAAATGGCTTATTTATATGTCATTTTTTGCAGTTTATAGAGCACTACATAGAGGTTATGACATTTTCTACGAGTGTCCGGATGTCTAGTAGACGAAAAAGTAGTTTCCCACAGTGCACCTTGGAAAGTATTGTAGATTGATGATCACAAGAGGAGCAGATATATCCCAGAATGCTTTGCTAGAGCTCCCCTCCCAAAGCATCGTGCGATTTGTTGTGGCGGCAAGAGAGAACAAAGATGGCGAATGAGCTGGAGTTATGTGACCTACGCGGAGTTTAAGTACTGATCTGCCCAATCCCAAACCGGCCTCTAAACACTAGCCCTAAGCACTAACCCTCCGTTTGCTCGCTCCTGAAGAGGGTCCGCCATGTTCAGGGACGTTTAAAAGCCCGTGGTGGGTAAGGCGAGTGGACCATTCAGCCCTTTGATAGTGAGTCTGCATCAGTGCAGACTAGCTGGAATTTTACAGCAGGCGCTACAGAGAACTAATGGCGGAGAAACATCTGTCCAAACGGTCACAGTAAATTGAGTTCACTATATAGTCCCCACTCCATATAGTGATTATGGGGTAAGGGCGGACTTTCAGCCTTAATTTTCAACCTTAGGCTGGAAATTAAGGCATAAGGTTAGAAACTTTAGGCCTTAATTTCATTTATGAATCTTTCTTTGTTAAAACTGCTTTGTCAAACGGGCCTCAGCAAGCTTAATAAATGTGGTTCTTGCAATATATTATTCTTCTTTTGCTTTGTTTTCTCCTAATTTTTATTAAAGGTTTACCCTTTACATATAAAATACTCATTATAATTTTTAAAGTTTTTATTGCATTAAATAAATAAATAAACATCATAGAGGCACAAGAGTTGTTTGGAAAAAAGTATTATCACGATAAATTTACGTTATCATTAGGAAGAGAAATAGCACAAAGCATAGTGTATTTCTTTACATTTAGAAATATTTGTATATACATACTGTATATGAGATGTGATTTAGATCACCTTTGATAGTTTTTTTGGCTGTTAAACCTACAAAGTAGTAGCCTCTGAGTTAATTCTGCATAATTGACAGTTTCAAAACTCAGTCACTGTCTAAACTTTGTATTATTGAAAATTTTCCTGATACTTTTGTAATATGAAGGAACAAGGTTTTGATAACTGAATTAATTTCTTTGGATGTGGAAAGCACAAACGGATTAGTTTTTTTTTTTTTTTACACGTATTCAGTTTTTTCTATATATTTATATTTATTTAGTTTTTTTTATATTATTTAAAGAGGTTTATATGGAGCTAAATCACTACCAGCTTGGACTGGCATCCAATGTGAGATCTGGCATTGAAATTTCAACCATTGAATGTCATGTCAGTCATTGAATATTTCAACACTGAAAATTCAAAATTCCAACAAAAAATTTATAAATTAGGGAGGATTTGAGTCTTTGCAGAGTTCCCGCAGTTATGATGTCACTACCAGCTAGCACTGTTATCACGTTTGGGAGGCGGGGCTAAACTGAAGTCTCGTTTAGGGTCCCTCCATTTTTCCGGTACTCCTCATCATCTACCTGCCATAAACCAATGCAAGGCTCTGGCTCAGGTGCTGTTGCTCAACCACAAGTAAGGGTATTAATTTTGTTATTATCATGTTTTTGTGATAAGCTCAGAACATAGGACCCAGAATTCAGGCGAGACAGACAGTGGAAAACTTAAAAAGCATTTATTTAAAGAAAGAACGAATAGATATAGAGTGGCAGCATCTGAAGCAGGAACATCTATTAGAGAGAATTACAGGTTAGTGACTGCGATAAGCTGATGGAGGATCATTATGAAAGTGCGAGTCACTAACCTGGTTTGACAGTTCAGTCCGTGCCCAGAGAAAAGGAGGATTCCAGTTGGTCAACTAAAAAAACACAGTGGACACTGCAATGAAGTTCCAGTAGCGGAAGCCTAAGAGGCTGCAGATGACAGGCGATCAGATCTGAGCTGACAAAGGAAGACGGGATAATCCACAAGCGAAGTAGAGGCAGATCCAGGTTCAGTCCGTGGAAGAATCCAATAGGAGTCCGAAGACAGGAAGGCAAAGTAATCAGACAGGGGCAGGCAGGCTCAAAGGTCCAAATACAAAAACAGATTAGGATCTGACAATCAGAACACTATAGTTATGCTAGAGAACTCTCAACACCAAAAGTTCAAAAATAATCTGGGACTGATGGCTGGGAAAACATCAGCTTAAATAGGAAACTGGAACAGGTGGATCTAATGGGTGATGAGGAACAGGGTAGAGCTAGCCAGGTGAATGAAATGAGCAATCAATTCAGCCAACATCGACAAAATCAAAACGGTTTAACTGTAAAAGGACCCAGTAGTTCAGTAAGTTTAGTTTCAACTGAAGCTAACTGACGACCATGAGCCTTTAGTTTAGACCCCCACCCCCCCCACCCCAATGCAGTGATAAAATAATCTCTCACTGAAAGACAATGCTGCTGCTGAGAATTTTATGTTTTACTTCTCTATACTTCTAGAGGGCATTTTGAATTTGCAATGTTTTTATTTTTTAAAGCCAAATTTCACATTCAATGCAGTCGCTGCAAGCTCTCACTGATATGGCTCCATAGCTTTAATGTAAGGAGGAAAAAAAATTATCTATATCATATCTTCTTTTCAGTAATCTCTTCACAAACGTGCACAGCTCAGACCAAGAGGTCTTCATCATACCAGGCATATCAGCTGAAATCCTGCAGATCATCATCGAATATGTTTACACCAACTCTCTCAACGTCACTGAGAATAATGTCCTGGAGCTTCTCCTTGCCTCAAACCAGTTGGGTTTATATAAAGTTGTACATGCCTGCTGTGTCTACGTTGAGGGTCTGATCAGCCCAGAAAACTGTATTGGCCTCTGGAGTTATACAGCGACTGTCTGCCGTCAACCTGTGCTTAACTTCAAGATCTACCAATACATCTTACAACACTTTGAGTTGGTCGCTCTGTGCAATGAGTTCCTGCACCTCTCGGCAGAAGAGCTTGCTAAAATCATTGAGGAGGACAACTTGGTGGTTAGAAAGGAGAGTTTGGTGTTTGAGGCCATTTTGAGGTGGATTTCTCATTATCCTGCAAATCGGAAGACCCACTTCAGTGCTCTCCTTTCCAAGGTAGAGTAACTACATTTGTTTACCATTTGTATTTCTTTAATTGCATGATTTTTCCTGTATTGTATAGTCAGAGTTGGTTAAGATTGAAATTGAGGCATATCTGAAGTTTGAATGTTGCTGCCCTCCTTTTAAGATTTGGAAAACACTGCAATACAGAATTTATCATCACAAAAATGAATTACATTTGATATAATCTGTACTGTTTCAGAGCAGTACTGTGTCTAGGGCTATCAGAATCTTTACATGCATTACAGCAGGCACCTCCAAAGTAGTGTCGCACTAATACTGATACAAGTATCGGTACCGATATCGGTATCGGTGAGTACCAACAAATAGGGCACCAATACCATTTTGAGAGCAAAAAGTTTTCCAACTATTGTCACACATTCCAGGTAGGCAATAAAAAGTTCTACTGGATTTACTTTGAATTAGTCTTTTTCCTGCTTCACTAAGGTAGGCAGCAGCTTGACAAAGCTAAGATAGCAATTTTTTAAAATCTCAGTAGTATGCAGTTCTTCATATATACACACACATCAATTTCAAACATAAGGTATCGGTATGGTATTGGTGTAGGCCGATACTGCACAGCCAGTTATCAGTTATTGGTATTGGGGCCAAAAAAAATGGGATCCGTGCAACACTAGTCAAAAGTCAGTCTTTGAGGGCCGCTGTTCTGCGGGTTTTAGAAGTTTTCCTGCTTTAGCACAGCTGATTTTCCTTCATAGCTGTTTAAACAGATTTTGTTGAACTGTAATCATCTGAATCAGCTGTGTTAAAGCCGAGAACCATTGAAAATCATTCCTACGTTACAGCTTCCATCATAAAAATGATGAAAGGGGCTTTATAGACTTAGACCAATTTATTAATCCCACCAGAGGCAATTCGTTTGAGGGGTACAAGACACAAACAAATAATAATAATAAAAAAAAATTTAAAGAATAATAACAGGTAAAATGAACATGTAATAGTGTAAAAATTAAGATGATTAAAAAAGAAAAATGTAACAGGGAGCTTGAGGACAAAGATTAATCATAATAAAAACACAGAAAGCAGGCAAAAAGATAACTTTTTAAAAAAAAAACACACCAGCCACATATAGAAATTAAAAGCGAATGGCTGTTGGTATAAAAGAATTTGCATAGCGGTTAGCTTTACAGTGAGACATAAAATAGTGGCGTCCTAACGACAACAAGAAATTTTTTTATTTTTATTCAATTCAGTTTATTTCTATAGCACCAATTCACAACAGATGTCATCTCAACGCACTTTCCAGTTCACCAGATCATCCATTCAAATTGATTCAAAGTTTTCTATCTAAGGAAAACCAGTTGATTGCATCGACTCATTGACTCAAATGCAATCCCTCACACTAAGCATGCTTGTAGTGACAGTGGAGAGGAAAAACTCCCTTTTAACAGGAGGAAACCTCCAGCAGAACCAGGCTCAGTGTGAGCGGCCATCTGCTGAGGCCGACTGGGGTTCGAGGAGACAGAAGCAGACATAGAAAAAGAAGCTGTAAAAGGCGGCCCCGTCAAGGAACCACACAGCCAGACACTAGTTTTTGAGAACCTTTTTGAAAACTTCCGTAAAAATTCAAAAAATATCTACTGGACTTGGTTTCCAAGATTTAAAGACATTTCGCCACCTCTCCAGGAAGCTTTCTCAATTTTTTGAGAACATCTTCTGATGAAGAGAGGAACCCTTTTGCTTTTTTTTTTGCAATTTTTTCATCACAGAAGGAAGTAAAGTCCCTCTGGTGCACTCCTATGATTTTAGAACAGATTTTAGTGACACGATTCAATGTTTTTATCTTTCAATGTTAGGAGATATACATATACTGACACATGCAGTTTGATTAACAAGCTATGTATAATTGTCATATGCATTTTAAGCACATACAGACTACATTTTAGCTTCCCTTACAATCAAAAGACAATTTAATTTGTAAAAACATACATAAATTCTTTCATTAAATGTATAAAACACTTAACAATTCCAATGTGTATAATGCTTATAAACATCTCATACAAACCAAGTCTGGCTATTAAACCAGTGCAGCTCGTTTTCTTATGATAATTTAATAAAACAACAATTTAGAAAAATAATCATTTAGAAAAACCTTTGCATTATTACCAGATGATCACATGAAGTAGATGGGAGTGCAGGTTGGTTCCTGGTTTTCCAGTTCACAGGTGGTCCACAACCTAATATTATGTCTTACACTCTACGTATAAAAAAAATAACAATAAAAGTCGTCTAAATCTAAAATATGGGCAGAGAGAACTTGAAGTTTCTTAGTTTGTTGTGTCCAGTTATATGAACAAAGAAAACAAATTTTGTAATATAAAATTTAACTATGCATTTCCTTTTTACTCAGAAATTTGAATAAGTAAATTTGAATCTGGGAAAAGAACAGATGGCTTTAAGCATGGGATTTCAAAACGGTGTTCATTGGTGGGTAGAGAAGAGTTTATGTCTCAGCGTGGCTTATTGGTTCCTTTTACTTCTTAAAAATTACTGCAGTTTTCGTTTTCAACATGCATGATAAAGATTCAGACTCTTGAACAGTGCAACGTGTTGGTTATTAATACTTATTAGTTAAACATTACATCTCATTGTTCATATTTTTCTTGGATAACAATTCTTCTTAGTACCACAAAGAGCAACCAAGATTTTTTTACTCTAGTAGAACTAAAAAATATTCATTCAAGAAAATACTCCAGTAAAAGTAAAATAAAATGTTAAAAGGCTGCTTGAGCACTGAGTAATTGTTGAATACTAAAATCTGATTTCATGTTTAGAAATGATGCTGGCAGGTAGACTTGCATTAACCCATTAAATTCATGCAGAATAAATACTTTGACCAAATATTATTTCCCAAATAAAATTTAGAAAATGTATCCTTACATTGAGAACTGTTCACATGTTGGGTCAGAGTAAAGATGTCAGGATTTGGTTATTGAGTGTTGCCCCAAAAGCAGAGGCAGAGAGGCAGAGGCGAATCTGTTGTGTATTTAATAATGACTTAACAGAAAACAGAGGCTGGTTATCCAAAAATCCAAAAGGAAAACAAAGTCCAAACAAACATGAAACCAGAAGTCCAAAAATCAAAAACATGAAAACAAGTCTAACGTAACAGAAACCATGGGGACATCAGGGGAATCACAAACATAACGAGGAAGGCACAGAGAGAAGGAGTTTGGAGCATGTCAGACTGTGTTTGACGAGGACCCAGCAAAGGGGAACTAAACAGAGAGGGCTTTTTAAAGGAGACTGAGACAAAGAGGGGGCTAATGAGGAAACTGGGAGCAGGTGTGCACAGAACAAGAGGGGAAGAGCTAGGAAAGAAGGAGAACATAAGAGGGCAGCAGAGAGCAACAAATAGAAACCTGGAAGACTGGAAATAACAACAAAATGATAATCAAATAACTAGGACTATAAAACATGGTGAAAAGAAAACTAAACACTCAAAAGAAAAACATAACAGAAACAGAAACCTAACAAAAGAACTCTCACTGATAATATTTACAGTTTACTGTATCTGATCTTGAAATGAAGTCAAAATCAAATGACTCACAGAAGACAGTGATACATTTTAATCCAGTAGGAGTAGCGATACTTTACAAGAATATTAAGCAAGTAAAAGGAAGAAGTACAGCAGTTTTTTTTACGTTACCCAAGCAATTGTAATTGAGTAAATGTAACTAGTTACTAGTTACTAAAAATCTCTGCCTGTGACGCAACTTCAATCAAAGGGATCAAAGTATAATTGATCTGGATCTTTAATGAAATGTCTTTACACTGACACAGGCAGCAAAATATAAAAAAAAAGTTTATTTAGGATCAGGATATCAGAAGTCGACATCGATGTCTAACAATAAGATTTAATACAACTTAGATTTAAGAGAATAATATCAGGCGTAGAAAATAATTCATGTTAATGTATTTTATATTGTCATCTCTCTGTAGGTCCGACTGGCCCTATTGGATTCACAGTACATCAAAGACAATGTAAAGCCTAGCATAATGTTGCAAGGCCAGTTGCTCTATCTCCTTTCCGTTGCCACTAGAACTAAAATTGTTCAGTACTACTTCGGACATGGTTTCAGCGGTATCTCTAACCCCTGTGCTCGCCCTCGGCTGCCAACCGCCATCCTACTTGCCTTCGGCGGCTGGAGTGGTATAAGTCCAACCAATGGCATTGAGGCTTATGATGTCCGTGCTAACCTCTGGCTCAATGTGACTGACAGATCCCAGCCTCCTCGTGCCTACCAAGGCACTGCCCTCCTCAATGGCTTTATCTACAGCATTGGTGGCTTTAACAAGTTGGAGTACTTCAACAGCGTGTGTAAGTTTGACCCTATCACAAGAAACTGGCAAGAGGTGGCCCCCATGCACTACCGACGATGCTATGTGAGCGTGACAGTGCTGAACAGCTGCATATATGCCATGGGAGGTTATAATGGAATCACTAGATTACGCTCAGCAGAGTACTATCGGCCAGAGATCAACCAGTGGAGTTTGATTGCTGCAATGAATGAGCAAAGGAGTGATGCACACTGCACCACCCTTAACAACAAGGTAAGTGAGAAGAGATCAGCATTGAAGAAAGTTGATTCTGATGTCTTTATTATTTTGTCAGTACTTCACAAGAACATCACCATGAACACGGAAATTACAACTCTTTGATTGTCAGAAGGGTCTCTTTTGTAAAATAATTTATTTCTGACTTCATTCAGCTCATGTCTGACTCTTTCCTGTTTCCCCTAAAGGAAAAGTTTGGTCATATTCAGAATACAAACTTCTGAAAGTACTTTAAATATGAAATTATTACATACTGTTCAATAAATGATAAGTGTTTTAATTGACACTAATTTTAATTTCAATTTGCTTTACTGGAGGCATCCATGTTTGCCAGAGCACGCTAATGCCACCTACCGGTTTGTGACGTCACGATGCGTGAAGAAGTAAAAATCGAATATCCAGCAAGAGTCATTTTAATGAAAGCTTAATTTTACAGTGTTTATTTAAAATCTTATTTTAATCATTTTGATTTTGAATTTTTTGAATCTCTTTTATGATTAAGAAACAGCAGAAGAAAAATAATCTTTTGACTTTTTTCTGTAGATCTACATCTGTGGGGGATTCAATGGTCATAGTTCTCTGCAGACAGCGGAGTGTTACAGCCTGCAGACAGGACAATGGACAATGATCACCCCTATGATCAGAAGACGCAGTGGAATACGAGTCATCGCACATGCAGGACTTCTTTATGCAGTAAGTGCAAGGATATGGGCTAACACACCACCAGTATGTTTTAATCCCATTAGTAATGTGTGAGAGCGTCCTTCAGTAGGTTTGTTCAATCTGTTTACACTCACAGACATGAAAAGCAACAAGCTTGTTCTACTCAAATCTTTGCACTGCTCAGATATCACTACTACTTTATAAATGATAATTGTTGAGGCTACAGTTTAATAAAAGACATTTTTTGAAGGACTTAAAAAATAATTATATATCCTCTCATTTATTTAGTACACTTAGCTACAATTTCACTGGTAATGGTCAGCATCTGCATTATTTTTTATTTTTTAATTATATGCCATTAAAAACACAAGAAACCATATTATTTGATCTCAACAGTGGAGGATTTCACCCATTGTGTGCTTAATTATTAGATGCTTTAATCAAAGGCTTAACCCACTGGGCAAAAACTGGTTGAAAAGACGACATGATTTACGTCCAAAAAACGTCTACATTTGGTTGATAAATGAAAGGTGAAAAGCCGTAATTTTTTAAAGTCTTTTTAAAGATCGTAAAGTTAGGGCTTGGACTATGGTGGAACAGAGCAAAAGCAAACAGCCCAGTTTTCAACAACTCTGTTAGGACTAAATCCAGGAAATAACAAACCAACCAGATTTAGCCCAAAAACCAACATCTAAATGACGTCTGATCTTTGGGGGAAGGAGGAGATTTTTATAGTAATTTCCAGTTTCTCAAATAATCAATATATGAATAAAGAACAGAATATAATAGAATAGAATAGCCTCTGTTTAAGGGTTTTGTTTGGCTAGTGCATCCTAAAGATAAAACCCCCAGACCGAATATGAGCGGATTGGTACCGTATATGCTGTTCAGTGCAGCGAGGAATGCTCTGATCTTTATATTGGAGAAACCAAACAACCTCTCCACAGACACATGGCCCAACACAGAAGACCGGCCTGCTCTGGACAAGACTCCACAGTACATCTACACCTTGTGGACAAAGGACATTCTTTGAAAGACTAGAATGTTCATATTCTGGATAAAGAAAAAAGGTGGTATTAGAGGGGCATGAAGGAAGCCATCTACGTTAAGAGAGAAAACAATAACTTTAAACAGAGGTGGTGGACTCAGATTCCAGCTTCCAAAAACATACAATTCAGTTATAGAGATGATGACAGGAACAAGGTACCTCCTCTCTTCAGCCGGTGAACAATACCGCCTTAACGGCTGACACTTAACAATCATAGACAGGTTTCAGATATTACAGGCTAACAATGGAACCAAATGACCCACTCGCCGGTTTCAATTTGCAGGGTTTCCAAGCGATACAAGGCCTTGTCTATATAAAGACTCAAACTCACTGCAGATCCAGACATTTGAATTGAGAAAGCTTCCTGGAGAGGTGGAGAAACGTCTTCAAACCTTGCAAACCAAGTCCAGTTGATTGTTTTTTAACTTTTACGGAATGACTATAACCTGGATGACTGAGAATCTTCATCAGCAAATACAATAGAAAATCCATTTATTGTCCCACAATGGGGAAACTCTGGTGTTTACAGCAGCAAAAAGATTATTCTATTACTATTCTGGTAATATTTAAAAAAAAATGGCGATACTTCTGTGAAATAAGTCCAAAGTAAAATATATAAAAAATGGGGTTCAGACTTTTTTATGCTTTTTTTGTTTTCTTTTTAGTTGAGCCTTTGCAACAGCTCCCCAAACAATAATCAGCAGAGGTGTCAAAAGTATTAATGTGTATTACTCCAGTGGAAGTAAATCCTACTGTTAAAAAACACTTTTGTAGAAGTTAGAGGATCAAATTAAGCTTTTTACTGCAGTAAAAGTGTAAAAGTACAATTTTTAAAGCTAAGTATAAAAGTAAAAGTAAGGCACGAAAAAATGTTAAGGACAGAAGCTTTACTACACTACCCTATTAAAGGAAAATTTTTCCACAGTTTTGGACGATAGGATCTTTATATTTTACTTTTCTATTTTCACAACTAATAGCAAGAATGTCAAATTTAACTTTGCACCATCTGTATTTTGCTATGTGGTAAACAAGTGGGGGCAGCACCGAGTCCAACCATGTCATGAATTGCGGACCGATGAACCCAGTATTCAAGGAGAGACAGTCAGTAGGAAAGTTCAAATGTTTATTAAATAAAACAAAAACTGAAGCGGAGCTGTGGCTCGCGGACACTGCAGGCAGGTGGGCGGGGCACCGCCCAATCTCAGATACTCTAGGGAGGAAACACAGGTAAGTGACCACGATAAACTGATATATGATTATCTGGGTTGGTCACTTACCTGGTTTAACAGTCCAGACCACGAGTGTCCCCAGTGCTGCACTCCCAGAGGTTATGCTGGAAGCTGATCCTGGTGAGGGATCCAGAACAGACAGGAACAGACAGAAACAGGCAGG